GAGAGAGAGAGAGGGAGGGAGAGAGAGAGAGAAGGAGGGAGAGAGAGAGAGAGAGAGGGTCGATAGCGTAGCGCTAGGTCGGTAGCGTAGCGTCAGGTCGGTAGCGTAGAGCGTTGTCGGTAGCCTAGGCCGGTGTCGGTAGTCTAGCGTAGCGTGTCCGTTAGGTCAGTAGCGTAGCGTCAGGTTGGTAGGTCGGTAGCGTAGAGTTAGGTCGGTAGCGCCGTCGCTCGGCAGGGCTGTTGCTCGGCAAGGCCATTGGGGCTGCCTGCTGGGCGCGATCTTACGATCACGTGGCGATCCGGACCGTCGGGCCTGCTGACGGCCCGGATGATCGCGTGATCTTAAGATCACACGTCGATCTGGGCCGTCGGGCGGCCCGACGGTCCGGATGCGTGCGCGATCGCGCGCACATCTGGACCATCGGGCCGCCCGACGGCCCAGATCGACGCGCGATCTTGAAGTCTTAAAACTTTAAGATCGCACGCGCATCTGGACCGGTGGGCCGAACGGCCGGGATGCGAGATTTCACCGCTTAGGGATTTTAATAAGTGTAGGGAATTCATTGATGTTCCATGGGACGCTGGACCCAGTTTCCAGCAGGGGCTGCTCCCCACCAATAGACTGGAGCACCCGTGGGGTTGTAACAAAAAAAAAAAAGAGTTCCTTGGTTGAATCACCAAACACATTACTGTTGTGCAAAACACAACAAGAATGTGTGGTTGTCATGCGGGGATCCCCAGGGGCTGAGCCAGGGTTGTCGATCAATCCCCGGACCCCCACACGGGGACCCTTAATCCCAGAACCCCCGGGGTCCCCCAGGGGAAAAATTCCAATGTTTTCTTTGGCGTCCCCACACTCCCCCCGAGGAATAATGCGGGGAACCACTTTTTTTCCCAAAACCCGGACTCTGCAGGGCGGGAAAAAAATTCCCAACCGACCGCCCCTCTGGACCCCCGAGGTGGGGAGAAATTTGTCTTGTGGCTTTTTATGCCACGGGGTGTGAGCTGGCACTGCACGCACCCCCCACTTCTTTTTTTTTTTTTTGGTGGTGGTGGTGGTGGTGGGGGGGGGGGGGGGTCTGGAGCCAGGGTTGGGGGTGCCCACCCCTGGACCCCTGGACCCCCATCACAAGTCCGGGGCCAGGGGCCGACAACCCTGCGTGTGGCAGCCGTGTGCACCCCTGGGAAATCTTTTGGTCTCAACAAAGTACAATAGAGTGTAGATATTCCCACCTCTCCCTCTCTCTCTCTCTCTCTCTCTCTCTCTCTCTCTCTCTCTCTCTCTCTCTCTCTCTCTCTCTCTCTCTCTCTTCCCCCCCCCCGCTTTTCCGTCCCCCCCCCTCCCTTCTCTCTCTCCCCCTTTTTTCCATCCTCCCCTCTCCCTCCCTCCAACTGTCTGCATGTGTGTGTGGTGGAGGGTCTAAGAACACCAAACTGCAGCGTGCAACTTATTCTTGTAGAAAATATATTTTCAACGAAGTCAGAAGCGATCTCTTGTGACAGGTCTTGTGCTCACCACCCTAACATCTTTCAACCAGGGGACTTACACTGTACACTCAGGTGACCGGTCTGCATGTTGCAGTGTTGCTGACCGAAAGCCATCCACAGATGGTTCACATTGCCTGGTTTCCGCATTTCGAGACAAAGGAATCCATGTGGTGTTGACATCTCAATGTGTAATGCGAAGCTGTGTAAGATGATCATTAGGCTGCGTGGTTATCAACAGTGAATGAACAGCTCACCGACAGGTCCAGAACAGCAGGCCTGTTAGCGCTGTAGAATAAAAAACACAGACCTGTCAGACTTACCAAGGAAGGACACAGAGTCTCTATTTTCGTTCAATACCAAAACAGGCCTGCCTATAAGGCCCTGGAGACTAGTTACTGCCATAACTGGCGTCAGTTACGCTCGGGGAATTCCTGCCTGATGTGCATATGCCACAGACAGTTGCACTGCTTAAGGAGTCGTGTTTTTGAAGTTTAGAAACATTTCATCAGATCCGTGGAATGAACCTGCCTCGCATCTGTTCATGTGTGCATGTGCGTGTTTTGGCAAACATCACCATCGTTTAATTAAACAATTCCATCAGGATTCAGGGATAAACTGATAGCATATATGCTCTCAGTTCAAACCAGCTGTTCCATCAGCAAACACTTTTTATAAACCAGTCTCGCAAGTTCTGTCTACCAGTTTAATGACGGAGCAGATATGCAAAATTAAACTGAGCAGATATGCAGAGTAAGCTGAGAAACGTAGACTGTGTTTGTGTGTTTTAGACTGTCACCAGAACGGCCCACTTGCACGCTATGAAAAGGAGGCAGAGTAAAGGGGGAGGTATACTCCTGTTCATTTTCAGCACACCTCTACCTTTTATTTCGTCTGTTCTCTTTATGATGGTGATTCGTATGCATTTACTAGTTCTAGACAATGGCAGGGAGGAGGGAAAAGGGGAAGGGGAGGGAGGATGGAGAAGGGGGAAGAGGAAGGAAGTGAAGGGACAAAGAATAGAACAGAGGAAAGATAAACTTCACAGGGTTCTCAATACTCACCGCCAGAGCACACAACAGTGCCTATCGTATGGGACAAGAGGCCACTCACTGTCTGGGTTGAGGAGCAGGGGGTGCCTATGGTAAGTGGATGCCCCTGCAGAACGGACAGGACAGGTTCGGGTGTGGACTGTGGAAGCATCACATCCCATTCTCGCAGTTCGAGTTGCTGCGTCGAATGGCATGGCATAGACAGATGCCACAGTCTACCTTGCTCCCAGATGCCAGGGACACAGAGGCATGCTGACTGCAATTGCATAGGCGTTGCTGTTCCAGCCCCCTGTCTACAAATAGGACACGCCATGTCAGGGTGTCGTACATGCGTCCGATGTTGACTGTCATCAGACGTAGGGAAACAAAGACTTGCCTGGCCCATACCTTCATCATCCTAACATCGCAAAGCATGCTAACAACGCAAAGCATGCTAACAACGCAAAGCATGCTAACAACGCAAAGCATGCGAGTCACAGCTTGCCGAATCTCAGGTGGGTCATCACAGCGCGGCATTGAGCAAGTTGCTTGTGTTTCCACAGCCGATTTTCCCTCTCTATGGGCAGGCAATGACAGAGGGCTTGATGCATGGTAAGGGTGTTTAGCTGTTGCAAGATCCAGTCTGCAACAGGTTGCCCTGGTGGAGATAACCATTCATTACGGTGCACTGCAGGTGGCTCATGCAAGAGTGTATTCTCCGCCTCCAGCTGCTGTGTCTGTTCCTCATCTGGCAAGGATGGAAGGGGTCAAATTACGGGTGGTGCCGGAGGATGCCATGTGCAGTCCAGCACAGGGAGGACCTCACGTCTTCGGTTGCAGACTCTGGCAACCCTGCGTTTTGGCAGGGTGCTGATTTTTCCTCTGGAGGTCAAATGGCCTACTATGCCTAATCTCCCCCAACAGCTTACTATAATAAGCCACAGCTCTCATGGCTACCTACTTGTTCCCACACATACAAAACAAGTGTTTACACTCCACTGAACATTGGGCTAGTTGACCTTTCAGGTATGCAAACGACAATCATAAGCAGGATCGTAGACACCGGTGTTTTGACAAGTTGAAGTCAAAGACTCCATACCCAGGATCTGCACGAACCCAAATATATAAAAACATAAAGCCTTCGGCCTTTATACTGAACCAAATCGAGCCCGGAATCCAATAAAGAATAGCCATATTCATGATGGGCAACCAACCACCCAAAACTAAAAGAGGCACCGTAAACTGTACCTGGTGGCAATAAAGCCTGCACTCCGTTTTACGGAACGGGAACTTCGAACAGAAGCATCTTGCGTGAGGAAAATCTCGGCAGGCAAACTTGCAAGTCACAGACAAGACGAGGCAGAAGCACAAATCAGAACACAAAAGTGAGGGGACAAAAAAAACTTTCCACAACTTGCCATCATTACCGTCGTTTCCTTGGCATCCTACCACTCATCATCAACCTTTCTCCCATCTGCATCCGCATCCTTGACCGCACAGACATCCTCCTCTTCATCACGCTCGCTCGTTGACATTCTCATTATATCCCCATCATCCTCATCACCAATCAACTCGTTGCAATCCCCATCCTCATCATCTTACAATGGCCATAACGATTCTTCTCATTGCTTCCATGGCCCTGATGATCAGAATGCCCTCATAACTATAATGTCGCATCCCCCAACACATCAAAGAAGAATTCCCCATCGTCCTCACGATTCCTGTTATCCTCCTCATCATCCTCACGATCATTTCCATTTTTGAAAACCACCGATGCATCTGAGCCTGCCTGGTTGTTCAGATGCCGATTTCTGATGCACGCCTAAGTTTTACCCAAGCAGCACGGGGACAAAATTGCAGCTTTTTACCGACGCAGCACAGGGACAAAATCGCAGCTTTTTACCGAAGCAGCACGGGGACAAAATCGCAGCTTTTTACCGACGCAGCACGGGGACAAAATCGCAGCTTTTTGCCGAAGCAGCACTGCCAGCCTTTCCCTTCGGTAGGACAAAAGCCCCCCGAATAAAGGAAAAAGGGGAACACCAAACCATATCCGTTGTTGTGCTATGACGATTTCCGTGAAATTACAAGAACCTACACAAATTAATACATACAGTAATTATTATAATAAGACCAATAGAAACTTCATAAGAAACCATTTGAGCAGCAGATCGTAGTGCTCCTAGAAAAGCATAATATTATTTGGAATTACTACAGCAACCTGCTGAAGGCCCACAGTGTGCTAACTGCCACTTCGGAATGCATATAGGCTCCTCAGAAAAAAAAGTACTGCTGGTTTAACATCCTCATTGCCTGCATGATCATCATCCTTCTCATCACCATCACCATCCTCCTCCTCATCCTCATCCTCCTCGTCATCAAACACTGTCAGACGAACCATAATTGTTACTCTCATAAAGATTCTTCATGTTAAATGATTTATTTCGAGTGAATAATAATTGCATATAAAATATTCATTAAAAAAATATGAACTTTACCATAAAATAGATATGGAAATGCACTTATAATGAATTTAAAATCATCATCTTTGTCCTCCTCTTCGTCATCCTCGTTACTATCTTCATCACCATCTCCATTGTAATCCTCGTCCTGCATCATCATCCTGCTCGCTCCACCATCATCATCCTCAGAACATTTTCAACGCTCATACACATCCCACATCACCATGACCGTCATCATCATCAGCAACAGCAGTTGTTGGCAATCCACCCTTCATGACATCCTCATCGCCATCATAGCTGAACAAAGAAAGGGTCTTCACTTACCGTTCCTTTGTCTGCCACAACAGTAAGTTCCTCATCGGCATCTCCCCGTGCAATCTTCGCGGTGTCGGCAGGCTTTAATATATCATCTGGGTCGCCTGGGAGAATGCATAGTTCGTCTTCATCATACTCTTCATAATCGTTGATAACAATCGGGGAAGCTAGACTTTTTCCAGACGGCATGATACTCTTTGCTTTCCTGGCAGAAAAAAAATAAAAAAAAAAAATTCACAAACGATCAATTTCCTTACCATACAGCTGACAGAACAGTTGACAATGTTTCATATTTATAAGTTCGCTCAACTTTGCTGAGATCAAATAAATAAATGACAATAGGTGTGCGAATACCAACCCAAAATCCGGGACTGAAAAAAAAAAAAAAATCCGGGACTGAAAAAAAAAAAAAAATCCGGGACTTTTGGGAGAGGGTTAGCTGAGGTGAAGTCTTCGTTATATTAGTCCCCCCAAAACTGGGCCTTTTTTGGACGGGAAGGTTTGCCAAGATCAGCTTTTTTAGTTAGTTACTTATTCGGCAGCAGAATTTCAGACTAACTGATTTAGCTGCTCAATTCATTCATCAATTACTCCCAAATTGAACCAACTAATCTACAAATTGACTAGTTGGTTGACTAATTGCGATCCCTCCCAAATTGATTAGTTGGTTAACTAACTGATGAATTGAGCAACTAAATCAGTCTGAAGTCCCCCTCCCATTCTTCTTCTTCTTCTTCTTCTTCTTCTTCTTCTCCTTCCTTTTTTTTTTTTTCTTTCCCCGGTTGCTCCATCTATTGGTGGGGAGCTGCACCTGCTGGAAAACGGCTCCAGCGTCCCTTTTACAAGTTTTCACAACATTTACAATCAACACAAGAGTATCTCCCGCCAACATTGATCGACCCCTCTCATTCTGTTTCAAGTTGTTAACTCCACGTGTTTCAAGTTGTCGAGGGGAACGCTAATTGGTCAACGACAGTCTTCACCCGAATAGAGCGCCCGGTCATTATATCTGCATCTGGACTGAAAATTGCACCAAATACGGCTATAATGACTGGGCGTTCTATTCGGGTGAAGACGGTAGTCAACCTCAAAGCTCCGCTCCTTGTAGATTGAGGAATCATATAAGAAACAAAGAGGGCCAATGGGAGCACTGGGGACCAGCGGGGGCAGCGGCACCACTGGCAACAGAAGACAGTGGAGCGGCTGGAACGTGGAACCATTGGGACCGATAGATTCGAGGTACTCAGGTGGAGAAGTGGACCAGCCGTGCGGACCAGGAGCATCACTAGGACCAAAAGACTGTGGGACCATGCTGCGCCACTCAAGTGGGAGAAGTGGAACCCACCCAAATTCGACAAAATGGAGGGGATAGAGAGAGGGGGTAGTAGGACCAAAAAAGGTGGGGAAAAAATCAGAAGAAGGGATAGAGGTGAAAAAGGACGAGCAACAGAGGTAGGACGAAAAAAGGTGGGGAAAGAATCAAAAGAAGGGGAAGGAAGCCGCAGAGGCGAGGAAGAAAAGCAGAAGGGAGGTCTCGTGCTGCTGCTGATGCTGCTGATGGTGCTGATGCTGATGCTGCTGCTGCTGCTGCTGATGATGGTGATGATGATGACGACGTCCATCATGACGATGATGATGATGATGATGATGATGATGATGATGATATGGAGGAGGAGGACGACGACGACGATGATGGGAAGAAAAGGGGCTAGCTAACACGCTTAGCCCAGATCTGTGTGGAAAAAATTGTGACGCTGTCAAGAGTTCACCACATCGGTCCACACGTCGGCAAACAAGCAAAGGGAAGAGGTCTGGGCCGAGGAAAAGATAAGGGGAAGGGGTAGAGACGAGGAAGAATGGAGTATAGAGAGGATGGGAGAGCGATGAGGAGGAGGTGTAGTGTAGGAGGGGGATAAAGACTCTTGATGGATCGATCTATTAACCTACGGTAGAAGCAGCATTCTTCCCCTTCTGCGATTCCCACCTCTCACCATTTTCTCTCCATTCGTTTGTTCCTTCCATGACAAGTTCCTCTTTTTCGTCGTCCTTCGCATTCTTCACCTTCTTCTCCCATTCCCACCTCTCCCCTCCCCGCCTTCCTTTTGAATCTCCCCACTCCCCTGACCCCTCTCCTCCCCCAACTCCGTAGCCCTCCCACTCACCGCTGACATTATTCTCCCTCCTCCCTCCTCCCTCCTCCCTCCTCCTTCCTCCCTCCTCCCTCCTCCATACTCGAGAGATGGGCAGTGACTGGGGAGAAGGAAAGCCGGCAGAGACGAAAAGAGGGACCGGAGGGGGGCGCTGGGGGGGGGGGGGGGGGGGGGGAGCCGGATCAAACCAAGTAAAAAAGCTCCACACGGTTGAGAGGAACTTCTCCCGCAATTTCGGAATGAAGAAATACGCTACCGTCTTCACGCGCATAGAACACACAGTCGTTATCGCTGCATCTAGACTGAAAGTTGCCCCAAATACAGCTCTTATGACCGTACGTCCTATTCGGGGGCAGGGGGGGGAGGGGAAGAAAGTCACGAGGGATTGACAATATTCCCTCAATGCTCTCGTCTCCCTCCACTCCTCTCCCTCGAATCCTCTCAATCGTACTCTCGCCGGCCTCCACTCCTCCCCCTCGATGCGATTCATTTGTTTGACACATGAACCGGAAGAAAAATGGAAAATCGGAGAAAAAGGGATTAGGACGTGCTCCACATCTTCCTCGCCTTTTTTTTTTTTTTTAACCATTTCTCGATTTTTGCGTGTCATCCTTGCGCAAGGTTCGTTTTTTACTTCCCATCCGCTTCCCTTAAAAAATAAAAAATAAAAAACAGCCTGGGGCTCCCATCGGTTTCCTATACGCAATCCCAAATGATCACAAAACATTGCTTCCTCCTCTGTCCGACCCCCGACCCCCTTCTTTATATATATATCGTCACAAACAGAACTGCCCGGTAAACCGTAGGCAGAGAGAGAGAAGAGGACAACAAACGAGGGGCTGTGACAAACTGTTTCGTCGGAGTTTCACCGACTCATCAGGAGGCTGAACCCTCAACAGTCTGCA